AAATCATTTTTGCACCATTCAAAAAGTATATTTATTTTTGAAATTGATAAATCATTAAAATTTTAAAATTACGGTCATAATCAATATACAATTAAAAAAAACTATTTTTATGTGAAGTTTACCTCAATGTATGCCAACGAGAACGAGACCTAAAACCCCAACCCCAACGAGAAGATTACTTAGTACTTTTTTAACTCCTATAAATATTATAAACTCTAGCGATTTTTACCTTGAAAGGAAAAAAACCTTTATCTTTTTAGAAAATATATGAAAAAGAATAAGTTAAATTTTTTACTAGCAATATTAATGCCGCTAATCGATTGCTGCATATCGTAGCTTTATTTTTAACTTCCGTCAAATGATTAACATGTTTCTAGCCACTAATAACTTTAATATTTAGTCAACATTATTGCTTTAGAAAATTGAAACCACAAGGTAAAATTTACTAAATTTTCTCAAACATAAGTAGTTTTATGATATACAAATCAACATCGGTGAAATGTCGATGTTAAATAACATTGTTTATAACCAATATTTCCCATTGTATATAACCAATATTTCCCTTTCATTCGGATTTCGCTAAATTAGTAGCTAACAAAATGTTGAAACCTTCGTTTTCAAACCATTGCCTTCACTTTCTTAACTAGCTTGTTGCTAAACCGGGAAATAAGCTAGAGAATTTTTTTAGTTATTAAGCTCCTTGAAGAAGACTTATCAGTCTTATCACAGAGCACCGCAGAGAAACATTTAACTAGGTCGTTCACGTCTGCTTCTTTACCAACGTTGCTTATTAGGTTTGGCACATACCTAACCACTGCTGCTAAAATAGCTAGCGGACAGCTTTATTAGGCAATTTTTTTTTTCAAGTTGTTGCTGTATTTTTTCATTTAGAACATAAAAAGTTTGATTTTTATTATTGGGTTTATTACATTTATGATAATATTTGAACTTATAACATTGCAATTTTATTACGAAATGACGCTATCATAGATATCAACGCTTTGTAGCTATCAATATTTCTGCAATATAATGATAGCTACATAGCGTAGCGCTGTAGCTAGCTGCAACGTAATAAAAAATTTGTAGCTAGTCAGTGACTGCAAATTGCAGCTTTGTAACAAAGGCTGTCAACGAGCAGCCGGGCACCCGTTTTGTGGTTACTGCCCGGGGAAGCATATTCAAATGACGGGTAACCACCATTTTATAAGTTTAAAATTCATTTCATTCATTTTTATACTTTAAAATTATAGGCCGGTTGAACAAAAAAAGCAATTTTTTTACTCAGCATTTTTGGAGTTGCTCAGCTTTACGAAAATAAAAGTTTGAGCAATTTTGCTCAAATTTTTGTTCACGTAAAGTTGAGCTAACGTAAAAGCTGACAGAATAAAATTTTTAGCAGTTTCTCTTAAATTTTTATTTACATAAAGCTGAGCAATTACTCAAAAACCGCCGTGTAAAAGAAATTTTTCTTTTTATTCCTCCGGCTTCATTAATCGTAATATAGCAGTTTAGCAATAATTATTAATATATTAATAATTATTAATAATTATTTAGTATATTAAAAAAGATCTTGAAGATCTTGTTAAAAACTTTAATAGTTACAATCACCATGAGAATTTCTGAAAACATTCAACACAACGTTCAGAATGTTATTTAAGTGAGAATATGAATGATTCAGAATGATTCAGAATATTTTTATCAATTATTATTCTTAACTATTATCATTTTTGATTCTGTGTACAATCTTTTCCTTAACGTAAAACAGAAATCTATCTTTTTGGTAGTCGATATTTGTTAGTGTCGCTATTATGATGTGCATACACACCACAACACTTTATCTAGAAATATTATTATTATATTATTGTAGCTAATTATAGCATTACAAATGTAATGCTATAATTAGCTGTATCTGTTCGATACCTACATGTCATAGTTTTGTAGCTATCAATATGATTTTTTAAAATAAGTTCATTAAAACTGTGAACTTTATTCTCTAGTTATTAATAGCATATATGTTTTAGCTTTTTTATTTCTTTGATCTGTAAACCCTATGTTGATACAAGGGCAGATCCATAGGATTAGACCAATTGCCCCCTCCCCCCCCCCCCCCCCCCCCATAGATATTCTGAAAAAAAGTTTATCTATTTAACAGAGCAATTTTTTAAAAACGAAAGCAAATTTGGGAAGCTGTTTGAATGTGATAAAAGTCTGATGGGATATAGATATATAACGTAACTTCACTCAACCCCTTTACTTTCTAAATAGTTTGGGCCAAAGAAATCAACTCCCTCATTTTTTCCTAAATGATCTAGATGATATTTTGTATCATATTTGCGTCTCCAAGAAAGAAAGAAAATAGATTAGGTTTATTATGTTAAATAATTTTTTTTAATATATTATAGCAAAATTTGTTATAACTTATTCACTATTAAAAATGAATTTGATATTCAAGCACTTATTAAATTCGGGTCTGGATTTTATAAAAAACGCGAAACCTGAATTGGCTCACTGGAAAAAAGTTTATTTTGTAAAATGTGGAACCGTTTCTATGAACATTGCTGAACAAAAGCGAATTACCCTGCTTTTAAATTAATCTGTTTTTCTAAGGTTTAAATTTTTATTGAATAAAAAGATATATATTTTATGCCACAAGGCAATTGGAAAAAAACACTTTTCTTTCTAATAAAATTACAGAATTGAAGCTTGATGAACTTCAAAAACAATGGTTATGTCTTTGAAAAGTTCATTAAACTTTAATTTTGAAATTTTTTAGTTATGAAACTTTTCATAAACATAATCATAATGCTTCTGAAAAGTTTATTAACCTGTAATTCTAAATTTTTTTACTATTAAAATAAAAAAAATATTTTACCATCAAAATTTCTAAACAAAAATGAGAATGTACATGATCTTGAATTCAAGATACATGATCTTCAATTCAAAAACTATTTACGATTCAATAAACCATAAATTATGAATTAAAATGTCTCACATATGCCATAAATGAAATTTTTAAACAAGTAATATTAAATTATTGCATCTAACTATAACATTGTTATAGTTAGACGCAATAATTTAATATTACTTGTTTAAAAATTTCACTTATGTCATATATAACTCATATATGACATAAGTGAAATTTTAAAAATTTTAAAAATTTCACTTATGTCATATATGACTCATATATGACATAAGTGAAATTTTTAAACAAGTAATATTAAATTATTGCGTCTAACTATAACAATGTTATAGTTAGATGCCATAATTTAATATTACTTGTTTAAAAATTTCATTTATGGCATATATGAATTTATACCACAATTTATGAATTAAAATGTCTCATATTATGAGACATTTTAATTCATAAATTGTGGTATAAATTCATAAATTATGTATAGACAGTTGTTATAGTTATAAACAGTTATAGTTGTTATACTTATTATAGTTGTTATAGTTATTTAAGTTATTTACAGACATGTTGTTAACATGTCTGTATATAACATAAATAACTATAACAACTATAACTGTATATAACTATAAACTGTATATAACTGTATATGTCTATACAACTTTAACAACTGTTTATACAACTATAACAACCGTTTATACAACTATAATTATATATTATTATAATAACTGTAGAAGTTGCTCTAGAATATAACTATGACAACTGGTTGAATATACATAACATTAACATAACATATATCTGAATCTATTGGATAGCTACATATGAAGTAAATTAAGCTAAACATGTTTTTTTTTTTTAAATAATAACAACTTAGAAGTTGCTCTAGATGATGCTATAATTAAATTTAAATGTTATCAATCAATCAAATAAATATTTTTACAAGCTCAAGGCCCCAAATATTATGATGTGTTATATGTTTGAAAAAATAACATTAAAGTTTTATTCTGTAACCAAATTTTTGACTGTTGAATATTTATAATAAAAAAAAGTGTTTTTTTTTTTATTTTTTTATTCTGCAGATTAAACAATCAAGAATAATAGAAAAACTTTTAAACAATTGCATAGTTAATAGTGTTGATGGAAAAATGAAAACAATGCAAAATTTGCCTAATTTTTTAAAATAAAAATAATAATTTCAAATCTTTATTATAATTAAATTTGTTATTATTACACAACATCTAAATGACAAAATTTTACCTAGAAATATTTTTATTAAAAATGCTTTTTTATTTATGTTTTTAATTATGATCAAAATAAAAGTGTACATAGTTTATGGACGAACCTTAAACATATCAACTTATTGAACCAGGAATAAATTTTTTTTTAATTTAAATAAGTTTAATTAGTAATCATTTGTCTATTATCATATATATGTCAACTTATAATTGGTAAAAGCAAAACTAAATCTACATACATTAAGTGACTGCTGTGGTTGCGGCAGGTTTGTATTATAATTATAGTCATAACAATGACATTAATATATGACATTACTAGTAAACAAATATAATCTAGTATATGCATATAATTTAATACAATATCAATAACAGTTTTTAAAAACAAATAAAAAAATATATATCAAATGAAATAAAGTAATAAAAATAAAAAATTGAACAAAAGAATGAAAACTTGGTTTCTCTCTTTTACCTATTCCTATGTCCTCTGTTTCTTCAATATCCTCTTTCTAGGTCCAATTTGATTTATGCAATACGCTTTTTTGAGTACCCTCCCGCTCGCAAAAAGTACCTACGCTTTTAACCTATTTATTTAACATTTCATGTTTTTTTTTTTATAATTTAGTGTCTCCTTTCTTTTATAATTGACACACTGCCCTCCCATCTCATATACGTCATTTGCAGACCTCTTCCCTTCCGAGCGTATGTACTTTATGGATGATCCATAAACATTTTAGTTACTTTGAGTTTACCAAAATTCACCTGCCTCCATTTGTAAGTTAATGTGTTCTAATTAGAGAAATTTTAAATAATAAAAGTTTAATATACTAAAATTATTTAATGTTTTGTTTTTTGTTTAGGTGTTGCTGAGTTAGAGGAAGGGGCTTCATTGATTTTGCAACCAAGAACTCCGGTTGTTATAAAAACTGATGTTCTGTTTGAAAGTCAATATAAAGCACTCGATGAACTTGGAAAGTAAGTTTCTTTATTTTTATTACAACATGGTGTTATGCAAAGTGGTCAAAAAATGCAATTTTTTTCTCACAGTTACATATATAACTCAAGATTGGCAACTTTAAATATAAATCAGTAAAAAATATAAATGTTTCTTTGAAAATTTAAGTAATTAGTATTAAATATCAACAATTTTCGAAACATTTTAAAAACATTTTAAAAAGTTAAACATTTAAAAAGTTTTCACTAATTCCAATTTATTTGAATCGGCAGATAACTATCTCTAAATCATGTTTTTTACATCTAATTCACAACACAAAGGAGAAGATGAAGTTCCATTAATGGTATAAGTTCCAAGATGCTTGAAGATCCAATATTGGGGCATGAACCCCACATTTTCAAACAACTTTATCTTTTTGATTTCATCCCTAAACTTTATAAACTCTGAGATGAGTGAAAAATTAAAAAAAAATTTTTTTACCTTTTAATTGTAATCTTCAATATATATGACCAATCAAAAAAATCAAGAAATGCTAGTGCTGGTTTTTATTGGTAACACTGTTTAACATCAAATTTTTCATTTAAGCAAGTTTTATGTTGGTGATCCAAAAAAAAAAAAATTTTAATGGTAGAATTTCTTCCTTTGAAATGTCTATTTTTATGTATTTTCAATAATTGTTGAAAATGATAAAAAATATTTTTTGATTCATATTTAGACCTTATGACACTCTTAGGTAGCAACTGAGTCCATAGCAATGTCCCTAGTTACCATAAACTAAGTTTTATTCTCTTTTGTCCTCTTATATGTGCTTTTATATTTTACTCTGAACATTCACAATGGTTTATCAGCTATGTGTTTAGTGGTCTAAATATATATATATATATATATATATATATATATATATATATATATATATATATATATATATATATATATATATATATATATATATATATATATATATATATATTTTGAAGTCACAAACATTAATCAGACAGATAAATAAGCTGAAAATTTGTTATAGTTTTGTTGTATATTTTATACTTTATCTACTTTACAAAAAATTATTCTTTAGAGAACTCTGCAAATTTGAATTGTTCTTATAATTAATACAAAGCAAGCTCGTGAAGATATTAAGAAATTAAAATATAAAAAACAAAAATCTTTTTTGGATCAAAAACAATCCACTTCAGCTTAATAAATTGTGCCCTCAATATACCAACAGTTGGTACAAGTACTGGTCCAAGAGCCAAAATGATTACTAACCCTCCAATAGAATGTTTTTTTTGGATAAAGAGTCTACTTTAACCCATTTTTAAGGATTTAATGGATGAGGGTTTATCAAATAAATGTTTACATGGGAAAACTCAGAACACAAATGATGCCCTAAATGGACTTATATGGTCAAGCTTACCAAAATTATAAATAATAATAAATTTGTCAGCTGGGAAACCATAGAAATGAGTGTAAGTTTATTATTCACTAATAATGTACGCAAAGGAAGGGAAATTTGAAAAGCTATGGCAACAAATTTATATCATTCGCACATTAAGCGAAAGGAAAAAAAGTTCACAGATGTAGAAAAAAAAGCATAGAAAAAAATTGTGAGCCAGAAAATAAAGATTTTGTGATGAAAAGAAATCAAAAAAAAAAATAGTAGATTCATATCAAACTGGTGCTTACTGATTATATAGTTTATTTTTTGTTTTGCATTTTTCTTATTTTTTCTATTTTTGCATACTTGCCGCAGCGCCGTACTATCGCAAGTGCAACAAGTGCAATTGCACTGGGCCCCCTATTAAATACATTAGAAAAACTTCTCCAATACCATAAATTACTACGAATTGAAAGTAAAAAAAATTTTTTTTAGTTTCTGCACAGGGCCCCCAAAAGTTACAGCACGGCGCTGACTTGCCGTAACTCATGTTATGAGTTAACTTGAGATAAAGCATTTGAGTTGAAATTTCAAAGTTTTGTTTTTGTTGATTAATTTATCCGGATGACACTTAGATTTTACATAAAACACTGAATATCTTGAGAAAATCCAGTTTAGGTGCACATTTATATCAACATTTGTTTCGAAAAAAAAGGGCATTTTCACAACAAATTCAATAATGCTTAGAGTAAAATAATTTATGCAAATCCTGTCATCTGGAGTATAATATAATACAAAATTTTCAATCTTGATTTTGTTTTATTAAGTTTCAAAATCTTTATTTTTAATGGCCAAATTTTACACATTTTCCACCATTATGAATTTTCTGTTTGAAAAATAAAAGTTTTTTTTTATGCAAACTTTCTATTAATCCAATTAACAGTTTTAATAAACTAATAAAGTTACAATGATGATTTTCAGAAAGTAGCTTTTTTACCTGCTTACCTTATACTATGATAATATACTACCTTATACTAAAATAAAAAGCAGGTTTTAATGGTTTTTTAGAGTTTATTTTGAATGCATTAAAGAAATATGTAAACTATTTTGCAAACTAAAAATATAAATTTAAAGAACTACTAAGATTATATTTAATTTTAACATATTTTTAATCAAAATTAAAAATGAATAATCAAGTTATACTATTAGAGTAAGTGAAACTCTAACAAATTCCCCCTCTCCCCCCCCCGTCCCCCACGAACAATTTCTGTAATAACAAGTGCATTTAAAATTTGAAAGATGTTATAAAAGATTTTACACAGTAAAAAAATAATTTTAATGCAAAAATTTATGCTAATGCCATAAGTTTGAAATAATTAGATTATAATATTATTATTTAACATGGGTGTAAAAGAAAGTTGTTTTTTGTTGATTATTAAAAATTTTTAAGTTAATTTTTAACATTATTAGTATATTAAGTTTGCTTTTTTTCTTTTAATACAGTTTCAGGTTGTAAGCATTTATATATATATATATATATATATATATATATATATATATATATATATATTATATATATATATATATATATATATATATATATATATATATATATATATATATATATATATATATATATATATATATATATATCAGGTTAAATATTTTACTTAACTATATCATAATCGTAGTTTACTTAATTATATCATAATCGTTTAATCGTAGTAGTTCATGTTTTTCTTCAAAATAATGTAAACACTTGATAGTGACTGCTGACTAAAATTAAAATTGACTAGATTAGCTTTTAAAATTGTTTCAAAAATATCAGTTCTAGATATCGAAATTTTGTCAGCATCTGCCAAGCTTTCAGCCTAATTGAATTTTTTTGCCTCTAGGTTTAGGTTTTTTTAAATTAGTCTTTCTTTTGTGCTGGAACCCATCACAGCTTCAATTCAAATTGAGATGCAGCTGCATCATAGATAATCTGGTTAATACATCAAAATACTAATTAAATTTTAATTTAATTTCTATCACTAAATAATAATATGATGCAATGTAAAGTATTGCAAATTGAATTAATAAAAATAAAATTTTGTTTTAGAGGAAAATTTGGAGTTGTAAAAAAATGTCAATCCAAAGCAGGCGGAGAATTTCTAGCTGCAAAGTTTATCAGAAAAACACCATCTTCGAAATCAGAAGTTCTCAGGGAAATCAAAATGATGAATATGCTCCATCATAAAAGATTAATTCTGCTTCATGATGCATTCGAAACGCCAAAAGAGATGATTGTCATCATGGAGCTTGTTACAGGTTTTCTGATTTTTTACTTTTTTAGAATCTAATTAAAGATGCACTTTTACTATTTAAATTTAATTTAAAAAGGTGGAGAACTTTTTGAGAAAGTGGTAGAAGAAGATCATTTAACAGAACGACAGGTTATTCGTTACATGAAGCAAGTCTTTTACGGTGTTCAACATATGCACAGCAAAAATATGGTACATTTGGATTTGAAAGTAAGAAACATTAAAACAAAAAAAAATTAATTACTTCTAAAAACTAAAAATGATTTTTGGCTTCTTATGAAAATTTTTATTTTATTTTACATTAAGCCAGAAAACATACTGTGTTTGAGTGGAGGTAAACCTGGTTACGAAGAGATTAAACTTATCGATTTTGGTATGACTAGAGTCTTGAAGCCAGGTGAAAAAGAAACTGCAATGTGTGGAACTCCTGAGTTTGTTGGTAACATTTTTTTATCTTAAGTTCTAAAATTTTAATAATAAATTAAAAAAAAAATGTAATTAAAAAAACTGTTTATATTAAATCATAACCAAAACAAAAATGTAATAAGCAAAAAAAATGTTTTTAAGTTTTAAAAAGGAAAACAAGATTTTTTAATTTTTATATTTAAAAATTGTATTCTAATATATATCTTCAAAATATATTATTTTTTGTGTAAGTTTTTTATTTTTAACAATAAATAGTTTTTTACATAAATAATAATGGTTCATTTGTATAAGACTGTAGGTCATTTAGAGATTAAAGGTTCTGGGTGTACAGATGTTTAATGGATATGTGATATTTGTATTATAGGTAGACCATGTTATGTCTATATGGTAGCTTGCCAGTATGGTGGTTATGTGGTTTGTATGTTGAATATGGTGTTTATGTGGTTTTTATTGTGGGTATGGTAGTTTGCCACTATAGTTTTTTTAGAAATTGTAGAAGTTTATCACTTATTCAAAGCAAGTGTCTTTTAAAAATGATAAGTGTTGGAAAAAAAATGCATGTCAAAAAAATTTATTTTCTGTAGCCTTTATGTAGTCTGAAAGATTAAGTATTTAAACTATAAAAAGAGATTTTCAAAGTTCTGTAGTTTTCAGCCTAAATGCATCTTTGTCTGTCCAAAATGTACACATTCTGTTTGTGTATGCATAATACACCAAAATGTAAAATTTTAAAAAAAGATTATCTGCAGCAGAAAATCAAAAATTTGTATGATTTATTGATGAAACAGTTCTCCTGGCATACGTTGACTAAACTATTTGCAACAGTATCTGACATGAAAGTGAACAGTAAATTGGTTTCAAACAGTGCATGAATCAATTAATCATATAAATGTTCATCTTTGACTCACAGTTATAAAAATTAATTATTATTCTGATTGCCGAAAAGTATAAAAACTACAAACATATTTACAAATCATGTCACCATGTTTAAAATTTTTTTTCATTGTACCTAAATTTTCTTTGCAGCAAGTCATGACATATTTCCATGTAATGAAACAGGTGGCACTGTAGAAAGGGCTTACTGTAAAGAGTACAACCTCATGTCAAAAACTATCTATTGAAGCCATGTTTGATTGGTGTCAAAATTTGTTTAGTGGGATTCTATTTATACATCACTGCTGAAGAAATAAAGCTTGTACAACAATTTGCTGATCAGTTTTTATTGGCAATCACTGTTACTGGGATAAGAAGTTCCCATCAATTTAAACTTTTTATTTCTCTGAAGGGGAAAAAGGTATTTGATAATGATGATTTTGCTCTAACATTTGGTCTCTTCAGTTAATAAAAAATGAAATTGTTTGGATCAACTATATTATATCACAATTTTTATTTTGCAAATATAACACACTTTGCTGGCTTAGCATGGTTTCTGAAATTGTTGATGAGAATAATGATTTTGTTGTAAAGTTCAGTCATTATATAAGTTAGTCTTCCTACTGACCAAACTGGTGATATGCTAAGAGTACTACTGACCAAGAGTACAACTTCCTACTGACCAAACTGGTGATTGCAAGAGTAAATGTCATTTCTTTTGTTAAAATCAGTACTTAAAAGAATATGAAACTCTAACTGAACAGCTTTTATCTCATTAATAAAAGTTTTATATTTCATTTTAAACTTCTTTTCAGTTTTAACTTCATTTTTTTTTCCTTGAATCTTTTCAGTTTTATTTTTGTATTTTTTTTTTCTTATCGTTACAGCAGATTTTTATGTGTTTATTTTGAACAGTTTTGCATTTCAATTTCTCATTTCAAGATTTCAAGCATTTTAAGATGTCTCCTTTTCTTTCTTTTTTTTTTTTTTTTTTTTTTTTGTCTGAAAAATTTCAACTTTCATAGGTTTTAAATCTGTCAAAGTTAAAGTTTTTCATGATCATTTTTAAATCAAAAAAATTTTAAATCCATGAAAGTTAAAATACTTCATGAATTGAGTTACCTTCTTTTCATTTTTGGATCTAGCACCCTCAAAAATGCCACTTTTTAGCCACATATTTTCACTAAAACCTAAATTATTTATTAAATGTTCCTACAAACTTGGGCAAAAAAGGTCTGGGCTGAATTTGAATTTTATAAAACTATTAAGAAATCTTTTAAACATTATGATTTTAAATTTTGCATTTTTTAATGTTTCATTGAAACATATCATCAACTGGTTAAAAAATTGAGAAAAATCTGAGTGGAGAAATTTACTATCCTCTTTTTACATTGAGTTACTCCTCTTATTGGTCAACTCTTGTTAAATGTAACTCCATGTATGGTCTCCAGAACTCCATGGAATTTTCATGGAGTCATCCAGAACTCTATGGAGTCCATGAAGAACATCCAAGGAACGATCCTTTTTTGTTTTTAAATACATCTCTTTTATTGCCTAATTATGCAGGAATTAAAATTATGTTTTAATTTGTGTTCTACTTATAACAGAAACCAACCCTAATACATTAATCCAATGCATAACATCTAATTTATTGAATATTAAAATAACATAAAAAATGAATTATGATGCAGCGGTAAGATGGTAATGAGCAATTAGGTTATCATTACATTTATTTTCAACTCTCCCCATTCAAAATCTCTGCTTTAAAGGTAATGTACATTATATATTGTCAGTATAAAACAGTAAAAATGTTTTACAACTTTTGGGCTAATGTACATTTATGTTAAATAGCTGTTATTTGTGTGTATTTTTTATTTAATTCACTGCACATATTCATAAAGTGTTTCAATCCCAAAATAATGCACAAATAGTTTTTTAAAGATGATATATTGGTCATGGTATCCAGGCCATATTTTTAGAGTTGAGCGGGCGTGTATGCTTTTCTTTAATTTTAAACATAAACCACTGTCTTATTTGCAATAAAACTGTTACCATTAATAAGAACCAGAGGTGCAATTTATAAAAATTTATAAAGCCAGAGTCTTAAAAGGACTTTGGCTTTATAAATTTTTTTTTATGGTCTCTGGTGTCCAGAAGCTCTAAAAAAGTTGGTTGATTAATGATTTTCTATAAGAAAAAAATGTATTATATTTAATGACTAAAGAGCAGAGTCCTGGAGTCCCGTAGTCTTTGCTGCCATTATACCTAAGGACTCTGGGTTCAAAAATTGATTGTTCTTCTGACCTATAAATCTAAATTTTCCCCATTAGTAGTCCATAACCTTTTTTATATTTTTAAAGTTCCTTGATACCTAAAACTAGAAAGAAGTAATCTTTTTGTGACTTTCAAATCCTGAGTCCTTTTTGGGACTCTGCATCCCTGATAAGGGCTATAATATTTTTCCTCATTTCACTTCTAAACATAATAACACTCTTTATGAACCCATGACGACAAGAAACAACTATAAGCTGAAGATCTAAGGAAAAAAATTTATTAGGTCAGCAAAATTAATTTTTTTTCTCAGAAAATGGCTAATCATACAAATTTTATTGTATTATTTTATTGTATATTATACAATTCTGCTAACAGTAATATTTCTTATCACTTTTCTGATGGAAAGTTTGTTAAACAATGTATGTTTAAAGTTTAAAGTTTAGTCCAGAGATAAAGATTCTGTAGTTTAGCATGAAAAACATTCAGAATCAAATCAATAAATAAAAGTTTGATGTCACAGCCTTAATACTGTAAGTTCTGTTCCATTATGACATTATAAATGATACAGCACAATCAATATTATTTATGAAAACTGGGTATTATGTATTTAAAATTATAAACAAGTAAAATTAAAAATTTTTAAAACTCAATTTTTTTATATATGTTATTTAAACACAAATTTTGCAATCAATTTCTGATATTACTATTTTATTTTATTAACATTTGGCTTTATGCGTGTGTAAAAAAAAAAAAAGTTCATGAAGATACAGGTCTCGAACCACAAAGATTCCGTTTACAAAGTCAACGCCTTATCCAAATATGCTAAACGCGTGTATAAATATGAAAATAATTAATATACTCATTTTAAAACTTATTATTCTTTTTTTCATATACAAAGATAAACTTAATTAAATTTAACTAAATTAATTGACTTATTACAAAACTAATTATTGAATATTGTATTGTTATCAAGAAAGATTATGTATGCAAAATTTGAAGGAAATCTATCATTAGGAAGTGACTCAAAAATTGATTGCAAGATTTGATGTTCACAAACAAACAAACAAAATGACCAACAAACAAACAAACAAACAAAATGACCAATAAACAAACAAACAAACTGACCAACAGAGACAACGAGTTAATAAAAGCATTGGTAAAAAATATCGTTATGTCTTGCCAACTTCGATTTTTTTTAAAATTTTGAACTGCTTTTAAAAAAAATTGTCTATTACTGCTATAAGCTTTATGTGTATATTACAAAAAAAATCAAAAAATAATATTTTTTTTACAAGTGACCAATAATCTTAAAATAAGCTTTTTTCTTTAATAAATAGTAACATAAAATACTAGCTAAGTACTAACTAATTTATTTATGTGATATTTTAGCTGAGACAATCATTGGATGTAAAATAAAAGCTTTTTCTTGTTTAAGTTTTTTTTTTTTTAAAAAAACTTATACACTATGTCTTTACACTGATTAACATAAAAACTAAATATAAGTTATTCAAAACAAATATATATTTGAATAAAAATAAAAAATTATAATTTCTTTGAATTTTGTTAATCATAATTTACATAATAAATCATCACACTGAAATTCTTGTTTTAGCTCCAGAAGTAATTAGTTTTAACCCAATCACATTGGCAGCTGATATATGGTCTATTGGTGTAATAACATATGTTCTATTAAGTGGTATATCACCATTTATGGGTGATGATGACACTGAAACATTAAATAATGTCACTACAGGGGTGTATGATTATGAAGATGAAGATGGAACTTTTGATAATATCTCTGATGATGCCAAGTTGTTTATTGACGAATGCTTGACACTTGACCCGAGGTTTGAACTTTAATCATTAATAAACAATAAATAAGTCAAGTAATTAAAAATTCAAAATTTTGAGTTTAATGTAGTAATATAGTTAAATTTAATGTAATAATATAAATGTTTTTTAAAATCTACAAAAGTAGGTTTTATGTAATAAATTATGTAATATATTTTTTCATATTATTTCCATTATGTTTTCTTTTAAACTCTTTTTCAAGTTTTCCTAGATCTGCTTTTATTGCTTCCTATTAAAAAAAAGATGATTCCAAATCATCTGCATTTTCACACTCTACATGTACAATTATTTATATTTGTGTGTATTTATGATGTGATTATGTGTTAGTGGTGTTGCAACATAGTGCTTGCTTTGTAAGCAAGAAATATAGAGTTTGATCCCACTGTTTGCCAAGGTTTGTGTTTGTGAGCTATTAGGTTGAAAAACAGGAAAAATATCAAAGAAATCATAATAAAATTAAAAAATTAGCCTCCTTTTTTTTTAACTATATTTGTCTCTATATACAATTCATAAACATAATGATGACATGATTCATTCAGGATATCAGGTAATATAAAACTATTAAAATACGGGCTCATGCTGCCTATATTTTTATAGTTTGTTTGATTGCATACATCGAGAGTCAGTACTGACATTTATAAGATTATAAATTTAATCTACAAATTGTTAAAGCAAGTTCTTCAACCAAATATGGTGAATTTGTTTTTTAAATAACTATTTAGTAGTCGAAGTAAGCAATAAGACTTAAACAAAACTCTGTCTTCTTTTTTTTATCTAAAATATATTGCTTAAAAAAAAAAAAAAAAATTTACTTTGTTGTAAAGCAATTTTTCCAATCAGCACAGTGATAACATATTCTAAATGTGGTGCCAAATGATCTTTTTTTTTAATGCTTCTTAAGAAAAAAGAAGATTAGTTTAATGCTTGCTTAATTGGTTTAAGAAGATTTTATTTTTCTGAAATGCTAAAAACAATTTTCATCTTTGCCATTATCTAATATATCTATTAATTTTGTTTTATCTTTAAATTTTTAAGTAAGTAATTCTTTCTCTAACAAGGAACATTTTTATGGTATTTCATTTTTGTTTCTATTTGTTTGGGTGTGTGCTACACATTTTATTCCCTCCCAATCATTACCAGTCAAGCCTTACTCTTCTTCATGGTTTTCCTCTTGCAATTTTCAATTGTAACCATTATTTTCATATCTATTAGCAAATCAATTCTCCAGAAAATAGACTTCTGTTTACTACTGCTAGAAACCATTGTCAAAAGGTTTTGTCAGGGTTCCTCAAGGTTCTATCCTTGGCCATATAATTTTTTTAATTTACATTAATGATCTCGCATAAATTCTCACATCTAATGTGGCATTATTCGCTGATGGTACTACTATTTATTCTTGTCTTTATAAGAAGCCAACACTCTCTGATTGCTTAAAAGGGGCATTTGAGCTTGAAAAAGGTCTCACTTCTGCTGCAGCATGGGACTCTTAGTGACTTGTGAACTTTTACTCAGATAAAATTAAATTTTTTTCAGCCAATCATTATCGCAATAATCTAGATCTTCCTATATTTATGAATGGTAATGTACTGGATGAGTTATTTACCCTTCATCTCTCTGGATTAACTCTTACTTCCGATCTTTCTTGGAAACCATATATCAAATCTATTGCAAAATTAGCTAATGTTCTAAATCTGCTAAAGTTGCATCTCTTTAACGTGCTTGCCACTTTCTTCTGTTCTTTATCTCTATAAATCACAAATCTGTTCTTGTATGGAATACAGTTACCATATCTGGGGCAGATCTTTTAATAATGCCTTTTCTCCTTTAGACAAGGTGCAAAAACATATTGTAAACATAGTTGGATCTACTCTTGCAGATAACCTTCAACCACTATCACGTTGCCATAATGTTGCTTCTCTTTCTCTTTTTTATAAATACTATAATGGGCACTGCTCTAAAGAGCTAATGTCTCTTGTGCCATCTGCTAAAGTTGCCACTAAAGTTCATTCCCGTGTTACTCGTCATTCAATTAAATCTCATCTTTTTACTGTTTTACCTAAGTGCTCCAAAAATTCTTATTCATCTAGTTTTTTACTCAAACATCAGTTCTTTGGAATTCGCTTCCTTTATCTTGTTTTCCTGATTCATATAATTTGCAATCTTTAAAGTTGTCTATCAATCATTATCTTGCTTTATAAATTTCATTTTTTCTCTTCCAGGAGTTTCTAACTCTAATAGTGGTAGCTTGCAGCCTTTTTGGAAGTGAAGATGATAAACACTCAACTTCTGAGTTTTTTTTATTACAAAACGTTTATAAACTAATTTTAAAATCTTTTAAAAGATTTCTATTAACAGTTTTGCAATTTAAAGTTTGCTATCATCTTTTTTTGTAAATATATAAATGTTAAAAAAAAAGTTTCAATGAAAAATATATCTGTATTTACCATCAAAGCTGGTAAATACTGTTATAACGAAATGAAAATAACGTCCCCACAATTAACTGGGTTTGGTTAATAATAGCTACATTGTACTGAGTTGTTTTAAGTTAAAATATTTATAAAACAGGTGTTTTCTGAATAAAAGCTTGAAATATTTATTTTAGAAAACGATTAACAATTGATGATGCTCTATCACATAAGTGGATAAAAGTAAGTTGTTTTTGGTTTGTTGTTTTTAAATAATACATGTATTGTTGGTTTTATGTTGATTGTTATATGGTACTAATCAAGGATATATCCAGGTCTATTTTGACAGTGGTATACTGGTTTGAGCACACAAATTGTCTAAACTCCAGTACTAAATATTTGATTTTTTTGTGCATAAGTTTTCTGCTTTATTTTTTGCATATAAGTATAAGAGATCTTTTTTTTTTACTCATATAACAAAGTGATTAATCAATGAATATACATAATATCATAGAACATATATATAATATGATAGAACAATTTTAAGTTATAAAAACATATCATAGAACATCTAAAAACACAATCTAGTTATTATGATTCCATATATTTTTTTGTTTATAGAATGAAGGAAGCGAAAAAAAACTAAACACTGCAAATTTAAAAAAATTTATTGCACGTAGACGATGGCAGGTATATATTTGTGTTGAATTCTTTCAACGATTTTTATGTTTCTTATAATGTAATTGTTACAATTAAATTGCATTTTTAAACAAATTTAAATAACTAATATACTGGTTTTGGTTATAAGAATCAACAACAATTAGTTTACAGTTTTTTTTTTTGTAATTTTTATAGTTAGATTGCAATTTTTAGTAAATTTAAATAAATAAAATCTTGGTTTTGGTTTTCAGAGTCAGTCACGATTAGTTTGCAGTTTAAAGATATAATTAGTTAAAGAGATTTATAATCTTTATTAATCATTAAAAACTTGATTTTTTATTAAAACATTTCGAGTTATCCTAGTCTTAAAGATCATAAAAGCAATGTGACTTTAAAATTACAAAGAACAGTGTTTATTTAAATTCACAAAAAACAGTCTAAGTTTAGACTAATAAAGAACAGTGTGACTGGAATAATTCGGAAAAGTTCATAACTATTTTAATTTATCATAAATTATTTTGAAAGTTTGGATTTAATTATTGTGAAAGTTTGGATTTAATTGCTTTTTGGATTAATTACTTTAAAAGTTTAGATTAAATTGTTTTTAAAGTTTGGTTTTCATTATTTTATTTCATGTACAACTATTTTATTTTGTTTGCACTGAAATTTTCTTTGCCTTACAACTAAATTTACTTAATATATAAAATACTCCAGAATCACTTATCACTAGTCAAAAAATCTTTTCTTATCAATTAGTTAATCTTCATAAACCATCACAATAGTTTACTTAATACATAAAATATTCCAGAATCACTTATTAATCAATTAATCTTTACTTATTAATTAATTAATTTGTATCTTTTATCTATCTACTTCTATAATGTCATGTATTTAGTTGACTGTTCAGAGTGAGTTTTGTCTCTAATTGTTTAAGATTTATTTTTTGTGATGTGTTATTCATGCATTTTTAATACATTATAATTGCACAACCTCTCTTTCACGCACAACCTCTCTTTCTTTGCCTAATGTTGCATATTATTTAAAGGATTTAAATGATACTTATTAATTTCAATAATATTTTAAAAATAACATTAAAAAAAAACATATTTTTATCTTGTTTATGCATGCACTAATCATAATATACAATTTTGAAATAAAATGTAATTTCAAATAACAATGTTGTATTATTTAACAAAGAATATTAAATTTGATTATTGTCAAGAGTTTAAAAAGCTATAAAGTCCTTATAGTGTAGTCACAAATTTTTAGACATAACCACAAGGAATCTATTTTTAACGAATTTTTACTGATACAAAATTGGAAAATTAAATAAAATTTGTTGTTCCCATTCTGAGCACACTGTACAACATAATCTAGGTCTGATTGTTGGATAGATTGGTTTTGTGTTTTTATATTTTCTGTGTTTTTTACTTTGGGTTGTTGTTATATTTTTATTATATTTATTTATATATTAAACTATTGTGCATGTGTGTGTTGACATATTTTTCCGATTTTTCTCTCTTGTGTTTATAGGTTTTTGTGTTTTTTATTTTATTTTCATACTATTTATATTTTTCTAGATTTAAGTTTTTTTTAGGTGTAATCAACCAGTCTTAAAAAATAACTTTTTAATTTATTTGTAAAAGGCTCTAGATATTTAAAAAGTTTTATTATCCATATAAATGTAGCTTCATAACATTAAAAAACTTTTTTAAGTTAAAAAGTTTGATTAAAAACTTACGTTTTTAAAGATTTGCATAATTAAATCTGTATTATTTAAAATTTTTAAAACTGGCTCCATATTAAGTCTCATATAACTGGTTCTACATTACACCTAATATTTCTGATTATATGTTGTTTCTGTCCACTATTGTCTCTATAATACTTTATTTTACACTTAATGTTTTGTCATTATAATACTATTATGAATTTTTAATAGTTTTTTTTTTTTTTCCTGACTTTGTTGTTTTACAATTTTTAGGTTGTAAATTTTATTTTTCTGATTTTTAACATTTTAGAGAACTATGAATACAATTAAAGCTGTTAGTCGTCTTGCAGGTGGTTTGAATATAAAAGGAACCACTAGCGCATGTATGCTGGGATGTAGTGATTTTTTAAGCAGAGTGAAAATACAAGACTCTTTAGAAAAAGAGCAAGAAAAACGTTCTGAAGAAGATGTTGAAAGTTTACAAAAGAATATTGACTTGAAGTGTGATGAAAAAAAAGATCAGAATGAAAATGACGTTGGTAAAAGAAAAGATCATGGGGATTCAAAATCTTCTAGGCTGATAAAACAAGATCAAGTTGACGACAAGAAAATACAAAATAAAATTAGTGACAAAACAAAACAAGATCAAATTAATGACAGAAAAAAGCAAGATCAAAATGATGACAGAAAAAAACAAGATCCAATTAATGACAGGAAAAAGCAAGATCAAATTGATGACAGGAAAAAACAAGATCAAATTGATGATAGGAAAAAGCAAGATCAAATTGATGACAAGAAAAAGCAAGATCAAGTTGATGAAAAGAAAAAGCAAGATCAAATTGATGACAAGAAAAAGCAAGATCAAATTGATGAAAAAAACAAACAAGATCAAGATAATGACGTAAAAAAACAAGATCAAATTGATGGAAGGAAAAACGATGGAACTGCATTGCATTTAGAAGATAAATTAAAGGTTTACATTTAAAATTCTTTGTGTTTCCATAACCAGTTAACTAATAGAAGTATATATAGGTAATGAATCAAAAATTGAAAAAAATAAATTATAACAAAATATACATTTGGTAAAACTATCAAATATCAAAAATAAACCTTAAGTTTTACTTGTGTGTACACACATACACACACACACACTAACACACATACAAGTAAAACTTCAGGTTTATTTTTGTATATTTTTGTATTTGTGTGTATGTATATATACATATATATATGTATATATATATATATATATATATATATATATATATATATATATATATATATATATATATATATATATATATATATATATATATATATATATATATACATATATATATGTATATATATATATATATATATATTATATTATATATATATGTATATATATATATTATATATATATATATATATATATATATATATATATATTATTTATATATATATATATATATATATATATTATTTATATATATATATATATATTATATATATATATATATATATTATATATATATATATATTATATATATATATATATATATATATATATATATATATATATATATATATATATATATATATATATATATATATATATATATATATATATGTTATTAAGGGTTTTATACATTTTCGATTCAAAAATTAATAAATATTTCTAGGGTGAAGATTTTGAGGATAATGATAGCGAAGAAAGAAAGTTAAAACGGGAAGAGGAGAGAAAACGCCGACAAGACGAACGTAATATCAAAAATTCCGTAATGCAAAAGTCAGATTCGTTACCGATGGATATCAACGAAAATGTGATCCCTGAAGCAAGTATTGATGAAAATAAAAATCATGTTCTAAGCAACTCCTTGTTGCCTAACGGAGTAAAACCTTCAACGACCTCATGTTCTACTTCCACGACATATTTGACTTCCTCAACTTCGTGCTTGGTTTCTAAAACAAATAAAGATTTAGGTACGAATAAAGTTTCTCACAATGTTTTGAGAAAAGTGGAACTTGCGGATGAAGTCAGAACGAACCGAAGTCAAAGTTTAACGTCGCCGTCTACTATGAAAAGAAATCAGATGCCTTCAGGTAACGTAAAGGATAGAGCTGCTGCATTTCAACAAGGTGATGTGTTTTGGAAGAATAAACGATAGATAAAGATTATTTTCTCATGTTTTTTCATGTTATTTGACTGCCAGCCAATAACTTTTAATTTATCGACATCAGTTTGCTGTAATACTGTAGAAACTGTAAATAAAACCTATGACCTTTATTACATTTTAAATTATGAGAAGTTTTAAAGTGAAAAATGTCTTCTGGTTTGTTAAAACTGTTTTTTTTTTTTTTTTTTTTGCTGATATGCTGGCTATTGACAGTTCGCTGCAAAGAAGTTTTATCTAAAAAAATGTGGAATGTATATTTTTTTTATTTAATCTGCACTTCTTTATTTCAAAGAAATAAAAATTTTAAAAATGTAATTGATGCATAATAATTATTTATGATATTTAATTATGCATATATTGGTTAGTATTTTTTTATCTTTGTAGATTAATTTTACTGTCAGAATATTTCAAATCTTTTATTTAGTAATCATTTAAAGTACGAATATATGTTTTGCATAATATTCAAAGTACCAATATTCAAAAATAAAAAGTTATACTTTAAATTCATTTTTGAACATGATTGTTGTTTGCAGTCCTTAAATTTGAAACATTTTTAAAATCATTTTGTAAATATATTAGGTGTGTGCAAAATAGACACTTTATTTTTATATATCTAATAAAAATTAATCAATTATTTATTATCCGTTATAGTCTGCGATTGTTTGCTAACGAACACGCAAAGAATTTTTAAAGGCTTTATTTCATATCTCGTGATATATATATATATATATATATATATATATATATATATATATATATATATATATATATATATATATCACTTATCAAATTTTTATATTTTACATTGGAGTTACATAACGTATTTCAAAACGAAGATCATTTTTGAAAGTAGTATTATTCAAAACAAAAAAACAAGAAACCATCGTGTTGATTAGATTTTTTGTGTTTGTTTATAAGCTGTCTTACGTGAGGAAAATAGTTAAAGTTGCTTGGTCATATTAAGTACCTTACGAAAATGAAAAGGTCTACTTTATGGCCACAGACCAGAAAAATATCGTATTTATTGTAACAAAAGTATGAAAGTTTTTTAGTTCAAAAAAAGAAAAGTTCTATCTAATTTTAAAAAATGATATTAGGTTTTTAAAAATAAAATGTTGAATTATTATTAAAGCACCTCTAAACATGCACTTTTTTCATTTTTAGTTAAAAATTTATATTTTTTATGCAATCTCTTAACTAGACTACTAACGTTATCAACAAAAAAATATATAGCTAACGTCTTTTTAAATGAGTAAATACAAAAGAAATATTAAAACACATATGATCAGTAATAGTTTCAAACAAAAATCAAAAATTAGAATCAGAGCATGTAATAATGTGTTGCAATGTTTAATTTAAGTTTCTTGTTTTATAATTTTTGCTTAATCAAAACATTAAAAAAAAAGTTGATTTGAATAGATTTGAATAGTTGAATAGTTTAGTATTGATTTGATTGGTCAGTTTTGTATTTTCCCCAGTATTCTTAAAATTTGATCGCTTTAATTGCTTGCTCACTAAAGAGTCTTATGATCATTTTTTTTACTTTAATGAAATGCTAGAATAACAGACTTGTTGATTGACAGAAATCGAGATTAATACAACTTTTGAGTGTAGCAAGTTAATATTTTGATAATATTTTAACTAAGATTCAAGTTGTTTTCAAATGATGTGACTGCATCTTTGAACAGTTTAAAGTTGTACATAAATTATTTCACGCTTGTTGAATGGGCAGGGGAAAGGTTAGTGGTTTTGTACGGGACTTGTTACTAAAGAATTACGACGTTGTGACAGAGGTGCGAGGGGGTGGGAGGAGGAGTAGGGGTCAAAAATGACGTAATTTGTGAACAACCCTTTTATATATTGAATGTAGAAACTTTTTTTCCTTTTCAGAGAACAATTAGAGTAATCAAATAGTTATACTTCTCATAAGTTTTGTTTAATAATTTCTATTAGTTGTTGCTATGGTAAACTTGTGGGACGTACAGTAGGGTGGGTCACTTTTGAAATATTTTTGAATTTAGGTTCGGCTGGGCATTTTTCTTATGAATTTGACCGTATGATAATGAGAACCAATTCTCTTTTTATTTGCATTTAATGTTTAGTCAGGTAATTTTCAGCTTGAAAATTTTAGTTTTATCATAAATATATAATTTTCCGAGAGTTTTGTCAATTTTTTTACTTTTGACATCTTCAAACCATTTTAAATCAAAAAATGTCTTAAACTACACCTATTTGTCAATAAAAATGTCAAAATATGATCCTAAAATATTGCAACTAAGGGGGGTATTTTACCATAGAAATGGGTAACAGTTAATTTTTTAAAATGTATTGATGACGTATTTCTGAAAATTTTGTTTATGTACGCTAAAGTCGGACCACTAGTAGCAGTTTTATTAGTTATTAAAAGGAAGAAATAATAACGCATGCATTTATTGTATAGAAATAAGTTTACAGTTATAAAGAATAACTCAAAACACTCGTGATAAAGTTAAATGTAAATTAACAAAGCTAATTGGTACAGGAAAAACATTATTAGAGTCAGAACTACCAACTTTAAGAGATGTTTTAAGATATGGTCTCTTTCTTAGAAGGATTGAAGAAAATAACCAAAATTTAAGGCTAACTTCTGAAAAATTGTGGACCTCAGTAAAATATTTATGGCAAAAAGCTAATCCACTTATACTCATTATCTCTGATAAAAGAGGAAAAGAAAGAATCATATATGACTGGAAAAAAGCATATAATCTGGCGTTAGGTAGGGGAACATCTAAGCAACTTTTTGATCATAAATTAATCTTAGATAAAATGACATAGCTAAGTGTAAATGTTCAATAAAATTATGCGATTGATATGGCTGCAACCAAGTTTTTCATATTGTTTGCAAATGTTCTCAGGAAAATAAAATTCCTATTATTGAACTTAAATTTTTAAAGTTACAGAGGGATAAAGTTGGTTCTAAAAGTGGAATGCAAATAGGTTCAGTTGATAAAAAAGAAGTATCCAGACAAAAAAATACCATCAAAGAAAGCAGAACAAATGAAAGAGAGATAGGATTGAGACTGTACAGTATTCTGAAGTATTATCTCAAAATGATGTGGAGTCAGACAATGCTGAGAATGATTATAATGACAATCTTTATTTACCAGAAATAAAAAAAGTTTCTCAGCTAAATACCTTAAATGTAAATCATATTGCTTTGTCAGCGTTACGATTTAGTACAAGTAACAGAGCAACTGCATCAATAGGCACTGCAACATTAAAAGCAGCCAAAGATGCAGGTTTTTTGAAAGATCATATACTTGATAAACACCTAGCTCTAGATCATAAAAAAATTGAGAGATCAAAGCAAAGAGTAATGAATGTCTGTAAAGAGAGACATAATAATGAAGTTAAGAAAGAGGGCATACAATGTATTATGTTTGATGGTAGAAAAAACCTTACTAAAACAGTTGTATATGGCAATGATGGTAAATCTTATCCTAGGGAGATCAAACAAGATCATTATTGTGTCTGTTCTGAACCTGGTAGAAAATATTTATTCCACTTTGTAAATAACTCAGAGGAGAGAGAAGCTCGAACACCTGCTGAACATATTGCTGAACAATTATATGATTGGATAATAGCACATGGCATTGAAAACCAATTAATTGCAATTGGAGGAGATTCAACCAACCTTAACACAGGTTTTATTTTTATTTCTTTAAATGGTTGTTAAAAATTTTATGTACTTCTTTTTTTTTTTTACTGAAAATAAAAATTTATTTTAGGTTGGAAGGGTGGAATTATTCAATTTTTAGAGAAAAAACTAAGATTCAAACTAATCTGGATTATTTGTGCGCTACATACCAACAAATTGCCACTTAGGCATTTAATATAAGCTTTAGATGGAAAAACTTTATCTGAAAATAGATTCTCAGGAAACATCGGAAAACTTATTAACATAGCAACAAATCTTCCTATTTTGACATGCATCCCTCAGCTTGATTTTGTTGTAGACCTAATTCATCTCGAGAAAGAAGTTGTAGATTCACTGTCTACAGATCAGAAGTATTTATACAGAAAACATAATGCAATAGCATCAGGTATTTTTCCTGATGACTTGAAGGAGATTCAAATTGGTCCACACAATCAAGGTGGTTAAATCTCGCAAATAGACTACTTCGAATCTGGTGCTTAGAGAATTGTTTAAAAAACAAAGATCTACAAAACTTGAAATTGTTAACAGAGTTCATTGAACGCATCGTGAAAGAGGTCACCAGGGCTTCAATGTCGGTGTTTGGTGCCGAGAGAAGAGATGGGTTCATAAGGGCTACAATGGCTCATAGAGAGCTGATGGCTGTGTGCCAATCAAAAAAAGATCTGATGAAAATTTTGTAATCAGTATTTTAACTTTTTATTATGAGTAAACAATTTATTTTAGAAAAATATGCGGAAAATGCTGTTATCAATATTTTAATGTCTTATTACGTGTATAGACTTAATATAACATAAAATTTTAATTTTTGATGTAACTTTAATATATTGTCGTAGTAACTAGGTTAACTAAGGCTCAGGAATCTTTTTAGACTTTATTTTATTGAGTAGTAGCAAACCCTTTTTTCATAACTTCGCATAAACGATATATTTATGATAAAACTTAAATTTTCAGTCTAAAAATTACTTGACTAAACATTAAATGCAAATAAAAAGAAAATTGTTTCTCATTATCATACGGTCAAAGACATAAAAAAAATGCCCAGCCGAACCTAAATTCAAAAATTTTTCAAAAGTGACCCACCCTAACCAGTGCTACTTGCTATTCCGCCCCCGTCCCCCATTCAAAAACAGTGAGAATAAATGGTTCTAAAAAGAGCACGGTGGTTTCGCGGTATTTTATAACGCGCATGCGCAATTTTTATTAAAAAGAAGATATCGTTGTTTTGTTTTTATTTTTAAGCATATCTTTAAAAAGTAGCTCATAGCTTTGCTATAAAGATGTATAATTGATACCCCATTATTTAAATTGATTTAATTATGGCGATTGATAATGTATTTTTACACAACATTCAAGTTTTTAAATTTAAGTATTTCTAAAAACGCGGGAAACTCAGCTTGATTTTATGGCTATGTATACTACTAAAACTGGATAATTAAGCGCTTATTTAAATTTTTTGGCTTTAAAACCTAATATATTTTAAAACTAGAAGAGTTTATCTTTATATTAAAAAAAAATTAGACTTGGGTTACCTTTTTGAATTTAAAAACAGTGCACATCAAATACTATTCTTTAGCTATAAATAAATATAAAAATGACTGAGTCTCATATAACAAAATAAAAAAAAATTATGTCGAATATGTGGAGAAAAATTTGGAAATCGTAGTGTTCTTTTAACAAACCATGTAAATAGAATAGAATTGCATTTTTTTATACGAATCGACAAGGACGACCCAAAGATGCACCCTCAGAAGATGTGTTACAGATGCTATTCAATAATGAGAAACAGAAAAAGGTTTCAATACTAATCTTAAATTAAGAACCTGGATTAGCAATTGCCAGAAATGTAAATGTGTTTGCTTTAAAGTAAATAAAGGAAGGAAACCAAAGAAAACTGTAAAAGGAAGGCCCTTGAGTATAGCTAATGAAGAAATTTGGACTCGACAAGCAATAAATGACATACAAGCTAAACTTTTACCTCTTCCAACTTTAAATCTAAAACTACAAGACATTAACCAAAACTTCAACCCACATGTACATCTTTGTGTCTGTTATATTTGTAATAGTATTATGTATAAACCAGTTATCTTAAAAAACTGTCTGTATTTGTTTTGTGCACCATGTATATTACCACTTATTAATAATAAATTATTATCTAAAACAAAATGCCCTAAATGCTCTAATTTAATTTCAATTAATGAATTAACCTCCTCTAGCAATGTTATTGAAATGATAAATAATATTCAAGAAGAATGCGAGCAACGTTGTGGTAGATTATTTAAAGTGTCACAACTGTCAGAACGCCTGAGTCATCAAAATATTTGTCAGACAGCAATACCAATTTCCACAACATTGTCAACATCATCAGAGTGTCTATCAGATATATTTGCATTAAATTCAACAAATGTTATCACAAGGGATATTGATGCTGTCTCACTTCATTTTATTAAACAAAAAATGTTGCAAACAACATCCAATGTAATAGAATTTCAGACAGATGGACCAAGGGTAAGATTATTTTAGTAAAAATATAGAGATATAAAATTAATACTACAAAATTCTTCAAGTTGAATGTTAATAGGCTATAATAATATATAAAACATTCATAAATTAAATAGTATTTTAGCCTTTATGCTTCACATCAACACCAAAAGCCTATAAAGAAAGTAAAGATGCAACTTTACGAACAGTACGCAAACGACAATTACAGTTAAACAATTACATAAGCACAACGTGTGGTGAAAGCATTAGGTCGAAAATCAAGCAAACCACTACTCTTTTGGAATCGTTCAATGAAAGTGAACAAGAAGTTATTCTAAGTAATTCAAATATTTTAAAAACCAAAATATCAGCTGAAGAAATAATAAGTTTAAAAGCTAACATGAGCAGTACCTATGCCAACATGAAAATATTATCTAGGTAAACAAATGAAAATTATTGTATGAAAATCTAGAAAAATTAAATTGAATAAAAATCACAAAAAATTAAATGCATTATTGTTTTAGGTGGTTGAAAACCAAGAACATCATTTGTGCTTCAAATGCACAACAAAGATGCATTGCTAAGAAATGGTCATGTGATGATCTTATTATTGAAAAAGCTCCATTTATGGTTGAAAAAAAAGAGTCCTAAGGTTCTTATGAAATAAAAGAATTGCCATGTGCTTATATTAACAATCTGCAAGGACATATAATAAATGTGCTAGATAGATTAGAAAGGTAAAAACAAATCTTGTTTATAAAAATAGTTATATTTTTTTGTAACAATTTCTGACTAGGAAGGTTTACATATAATAACAATAAAAAAATACAAAACTAAATTTATTTGGCACACATTCAATGTAATGAAAAAAATCAGTTCTAAAATTTAATTTTCTATAATATTCTTTAGCAACAACTTACAATTGAATAAAAAGATTAAAAGCAATGAAATCCATATAAAAATAGGAGTTGACCATGGAGGTGGCTCGTTCAAAATGTGTTACCAAGTAATGAACATAGAGAAACCTAATACAAAAACAAACACAACTGTCTTTAATATATTTGAAGCAAGTGATTGTAAAACAAATCTGAAGTTTTCACTGTCAAGATTTAAATCAGAAATTAATTTGTTGCAAAATACCATTTGCAGGTAAGAATTTTCAAACGTAGAGAAAAACAGATTCGTATATTTTTATTTGATGATTACAAATTCTTGTGTGCAATCTATGGAATAACTGGTGCAACTGGTAAGTAAATATTAATTATATATATATCCGTTTAAAAACTCATATGGCACATATTCCTGCTATATGATTGATTTTGTTTTTAAAGTATTGAATTGTTTGATAACTTCAGGTAGACACGCATGCCTGTTATGCAACATTACAAGACAAGGAATGTCAACTCCAATCAAGGACAATATTGAAATGCGATCACTTGAGACACTAGATTCACATTTAGAAAAATATAAAAATCATGGTTCAGATCCCAAATTTGCCAAGTTATGTGATAATTTTATTGACCAAAGGTTATTTAATGTGCCACTTGATCAGGTACTTTAAATAATTATTTTCCAACATCCATAACTTTTATTTTAATTATACCAAAGTAACTGTTAAACATAACTATATATATTTTGATTGCAGTTTAAGATTGGAATTCCACCATTACATATCTTGCTTGGTACGTATTTAAAATTTTTCAATATGTTAGAAAATTCTTGTCATACGATTGACGTCAAAATTGCATGTCGAATGGCAGTAAACAACCAAACACTTGACTGTGAAGAGTTTAACAAATACATTGAGAAACAATGTCAAATAAAACAACTTCAGATAAGTATTCAGGATATTGAAGATAAAATATGTATTATAACAGAAGCACTTGAAACTCACATATTAGCTAACCCTGAAAATGAAGAATATATAAAGTTAGTATTTAAACCACGCATAATTCACTTTGAAGAGAAAAAAAAAGAAAAGGTAAACATTTAAAATTTTATTGTTCACTAAAAATATAAATCATAAATAACACATTTTGCTTGGATCCTAATAGAAATGTTATTTCTAACATTTTATATTTTGGTATTTTTTATTTATATCAGCATTTTGTATTTCTATAAGAATCAATTCCCATATTTATATTCTTAGATCTCAGAATTGAAAATAATGAAAGAAACTGACCATGTAAAGATGTCATTTGGTCCACTAGTAAATAAACTTGACGAGGTACTTAATTTGTTAGGAGTGCAAAGGCAAGCATACCATGGGAAAAGTTTTGTTGGTAACCATGTTAGCAAAATGTTTAAGGTAAACTAATCATTTACTTCTTAAATATAAAGTAGTATATTCATTTATTCCAAATTTAAAAAAAAGTATACTTATATAGATATGATCAGTATTTATTTGTTTATATGTATATCTAATGTATATCTATGAAAAAAAGTGTAATTTAACATATATAACTTATTTAAAAAACATTATTAGATGAAAAGTATCCTCCAACTATGCAACTCGATACTAAAGCTCGTAGTCGAACTTGGGTTCAAGGATACTGACATAAACAATGAAACTATTGAACTTTCTCAGAACTATAAAGTCCTATTTGATAAGTTTGGGGTTTGCCACAAGCTTATTAACTCCTGCAAGCAGTTTAACGAAGAAAACATTCAAAATCTTGGTATGACATCTATTATTATTATTAAATATACATTTATATATATATATATATATATATATATATATATATATATATATATATATATATATATATATATATATGTATATATATATATATAATCTTTATATATAATTGTTGACAGAAAATCATATTGAAGAGTTTATGAAATACTTTATGAAATACCGTAATAATTGGCCAAATGATTCAATTACACCTAAGCTTCATATGCTTGAATATCATGCATCATCTTTCATTAGGAAATGGGGAGTAGGACTTGGTATTTATGGAGAACAGGGTGCAGAGAGTATTCATGTTGAATTTAACAGCATGAAGATTACCTACTGGCACATAAAAGAAACACGTAAACTCAAAAGTATAATGGATGAACACTTCTTAAAAAACCACCCAACAGTAAAAAAATATCAACAAAAACCTCTGCCTAAAAAGGAGAAAATTGCAGATACTTAAAATAATTTTATAAAACATTGCAAAAGGGTTTTCAGACATTGCAAAAAGGTTTAAATGAAATAAATGGTAGTATTATGGAAACGTATGAACAAAATTTGACGCATGCGTGTGTTAAAAGTCCATTACTAAACCACCGTGTTAGATAGACTTTGAGCTGGAAACTAAAGCGTTGGCAAGTTAGCTAAATTTTTGAGTTCTTTTTGTTTTTATTTACGTATGTTACTGCCATAAATGATGAACCGTAAATACTGGTTTTTTATTCAACCAAAGTTTTATCATAAACAGTTAATAAGATTTAAAATCTCAACTTTAAACCAACGCTATTAATGTTATCTGCTGTAGAACAGATAGAAGTGACTGATCCATGATTTTTTGGTGATTTAGATAGTTAACTTCCAGACATGGAGCAAACTCCAAACATTAGTATGTTTATACCTATGTCAAATAATGAGGCTGTGCAGAAAATTGCTATGATTGGAGGCAGGGAACGAAAAAGCCCTTTGAATTTACCCAGTAAACACAGGACGTTTTTAAAACGTTTTAATTCCGTTCAATCGGGAGTTAAAAGAACCAATACAATCGTTTTTAAAACGTTTTTTTGTAAATGTTTTTTTTTAATGTTAATTTAAACGTTTTTTTAGCATTTTTTAAGCGTTTTATTTTTTTTATTAACTAACGATAATTCTCAGTTAGCTTATAAACGATTTTAAAACGTTTTTTTAACGCGATAAAAAAACATTTTTTATCGTTCAGCACGTCAATATCTAAAAGAGGAAGTGTGTTTATGCAAATAATGGCGTGACCTTCGATTATGTAAATTAATTTATTTAAGTAAAAATTATATAAATTAACATATCTTTAAATCAACTAAGTGTTTGTATTGTTTTCTTGTAGAATTAAATTTGAAAATATATTGGAGTATTTTTAGTTTAAAGTTGTATGCCTTCGTTGAAACTAGGTTGTGTTTGTATTTCTACTTGAACCAATGTTATATTAAGATTTTTATTCTTTAATGATATTCTGGTGTTATTACCAAATATTTGGCAGTATGAAACCTATAATATTATATACCATACTATATACCCTATTTTACTTATAAAGTTATTAATCTGTAAAGTAATTTGTAAAAAATTTTTAATTGTAAAGTTTCTACATGAGAAAACAAGTTGTTAGATGAAATTCAAATATTCTCTATGCTTGTGTTCTGTAGGTCAAAAAATAATAAATAAAGATGATATTGATTGTGATGACCAAGAGATTCATTTTAAGACACATCAATCTTCATCATCTTTAAATAAAAAGGATAAACATGATGGATTTCGATTATCTCAAGCAAGTAAGTTTTTAGTTAAAAATACTATTGTAATGTTTTTTGTAAAATGCTAACATGACTGTCAATATTAAAAACATCATTGAAACAATGAGGTTTCAATTTTAACTTTAAATAATCGCCTTCATGAAATCCATTATTTCGATATTATCAAAACTATAAATCTATGGAACAATCTTTCTTGTCTAACTCAAAATCTGAGGAAAACGCTAATATATATAATATAGCATTGCCACTATTAAGTATTTTACTGTCTATTAGTTTTTCTCTGATTTAGGGTTAGACCAGTAAAGTTGTTAAATTATTAAATTTATGTATTTTAAATTTATTTATATACGTAGTTTTGTTAATACTATGTAAAATTTAATTATTGTAAGTTTGTTTAGACTTTTAATATTGTGTGTTGCGTCTCCTAAATGAGATAAAAACCCAATTATCCAAAAAACCTAATATAAAATAGTGTGAGCAAGAAGTAGTAACTGAAATGAACAGCCTAATAGAATTTGATAAGTTTGACTCAGCACTTGATAATGTTTCATCTAGTAACTCTGTAGTAACTCTGCAGTTGTAAACTGCTAAATACTGATTTGACAGATTTTTTCTTTTTTGAAAATTTTCTTTACAATATATGATTTTTACTGCTTAATTAGGAATTGTCAGTTTTTCCATTATTTCTTTCTATTAGAAACAAAGAGTTCAAAGTATTGGTGGTAAGAGTTGTCAAAAGCCTGTGATAGCTATGATGAAGATGTTAGTAAATTAAAAGTGCATTCCTATAAATACTCTGTTTAATTTTATAATGATATTACTCCCATCTTACAATCCATTATACAAATCCCATGCATGGCTCTACCTAAGCCGTTTTACCATGATGGGATGACTGAATAACCGTGAATTTCATACATGCAAACTAGCACATGTACGAAGCAGTCACAAAAACTGGCACAATGCCAAATGGCATAAGTGCAAATGGGCATAACTGCACAAAAAGAATTCCAAACATTGGCATAAGTGCAAACTGCTATAAGTGCAAACTGGCATAAGTGTGAACTGACATAACTGCAAAGCAGTTATTGAAATAGTTACAGAAAGTGGCATAAGTGCAAACTGGCATAAGTGCGTTAAATAGATTTACAAACATTTGCATAAGTGTGAATTGCCATAAGTGGGAACTGGTATAAGTGTGAAGCAGTTGCAAAAACTGGCAAATGTGCAAACGACATAAATGCGAACTAGCATAAGTGTGCCAAATAAATTTGCAAAATTTGGCATAAGTGCAAACTGGCATAACTGCAAACTAGCATAAGGGCGAAATGCCAATTAGCATTTAAGCCAATGTTTGCAAATTTATTATACGCGCTTATGTCAGTTCGCACTTCTGCCAGTTTTTGTAAATGTTTTGTACTTAATCAAATTTTGCACTTACGCTTATTCATAATGTTTGCAAACCTGTTTGGCGCACTAATGCCAATTTACACTTTTTCCAGTTTGCAAGTTTAAAGCTATAGGTTATCCTATAGCTTTGTAAACATAGTTGGACCTGCTCTTGGAGCCAACCTTCAACCTCTGTCACATCGTTGTAATGTTGCTTCTCTTTCTCTTTTCTACAAATACTATAATGGGCACTGCTCTAAAGAGCTAGCGTCTCTTGTGCCATCTACTAAAATTCATTCCGGTGTTACTCGTCATTCAATTAAGTCTCAACCTTTTTCTGTTACTGTTCCTAAGTGCTCCAAAAACTCTAGTTTTTTTCCTCGAACATCAGTTCTTTGGAATTCAATTCCTTCATCTTGCTTTCCTGATTCATATAATTTGCAATCTTTTAAGTCATCTGTCAATCGTTATCTTGCTCTACAACCTTCATCTTTTCTCTTCCAGTAACTTCCAACACTAATTAGTGGTTGCTTGTAGCCTTGTTGGAAGCAAAGATGTTAAAAAAAAGCTTTAAACTTTAGTCCAGATAATTCTTTTAACCCAGACAATATTCATATATATGACTACACTAATGGTTAGTGTGCCATTTTTTAAATAATAATAATTAATAGATAAACTGTATCGTTAAGTTAAAATCTAAATGTTTAATTACATTTAGATTTTATGAAGAAAAAGAAAAACATTTTTAAAT